GGCGGGATGGACGCGGGGCCGCGGGGGCTGCCGGGAGCCCGTTCCCTAGGCAACGGGTACCGCCCCCGGGAGCGACAGCTGACGGGGGGGGGGTTGGAGCGGCGCCTCCACAAGTGTCAGCCGGCGGAGCGGAAGTGACGCAGCTTCCGGCGGGGGCGGGGCTTCGGGGCTGCTTCCCGGGATGGCTGCGGACGCCTCCGGAGGTGGGTCAGGTGGGATTCGCTTTCCTCGGCGGGTGGCTGCGACTACGGTTGCCTCTCTTAGCGGTTTGAGCCTCGGAGCAACTCCCCGGACCGCTGTGGTCGTGTTGGGCTCCAGCTCAACCCGCTGGCCCCGCACGAGCCCCGCAGCCTGCGCGGGAACCAGTTATGCCCGGGCTCGGTCTCCTTCACGTGGGGAGTGAAGGCTGGTGACGGCCGAGGGGGCCGCGGGGCCGCACCCAGGCTCCGGCTGCCCGGCCTGCCGCCGTGAGCCCTTCCCCGCCCCTCGGCCCGCGTAAGGAAAGCTGTCACGCCGTCCCGCCCAGGGCTCGCGCTGACCGAGGAGCGTCTACGAACCTGACGCGGAACCGCGTTCGCGGCTCGCCGTGACCCCGCGCGTTCCGCACCTCACCGGGGAATCACGTCAGGTGTCCGGCGCAGCAAGTCCTCTCCCAGCCGGCGGGATCCAGGCAGACTTGTTCTTGACTTTCCAGAAACCTAATCCAGTCCTGTCACCGCTCGACTCAAAGCTCATTCCTATTGCTCACTCTCACTTGTTTTTAGAATAAGTCCGAACTTCTTGATCTGCCTCTCCTTTGGAAACTTAAGTTCCGTGGAGGCAGTCCTGGTCTCCCTCATTTAATTACTTCTCTCTCATGTGCAGAGGATAATAAATAGGCAACCAGAAAACATATTTGTTGTTTAAAGAATGAGTGAACAGCTGGGCGCCGGTGGCTCACGTCCGTCATCCTAGCTACTCAGGAAGCTGAGATCTGAGGATCGCGGTTCAAAGCCAGCCCGGGCAGGAAAGTCCGTGAGACTCTCCATCTCCAATAAACCACCAGAAAACCGGAAGTGGCGCTAAGGCTCAAGTGGTAGAGTGCTAGCCTTGAACATAAAAGAAGCTCAGGGACAGTCCCCAAGCCCCAAGTTCAAGCTCCAGGTCTGGCAACGGCAACAAAAAAAGCCACTGTGTTATTTAGAGTTTGGGGGAAGAGTATAGGGCCTTGAGTTCAAAATCACTATATTAAGTGGGAGAAGACCACCCTGGAAAAGGGATGAGCACATGTCTACTCTTAACAACCCTAGGAAGCAGATCCTATTTATATCCTCACTTAACAGATGAGAACATAGTGGTTAGCTAAGCCCCGACCTCACAGCTGGTGGAGCTGGAATTCGGACCCAGGCAGCTTAGTCTTCCGAGTTTAGACTCAAAAGCGCATATCTATTGTGTGACCTAGGAACTCCTCAAGGGCTCCGAGTAGAGATGGGAGGGCACAAGAGGGTTCAGAGGAGGGCAGATAACTTGAGTTCATCCTTGGTCTAGAGAGCACTGGGTGAGTCTTGAGAGATGACCAATAGCACTAGCCTGAGGAGGGAAGAAACTTTCCAGCAGAGAAAATTGAATGTGCCAAAGCTCTTTCAAGTGCTCCCAAGTAGTTCATTTCAGCTGCACATGGAGGAGCAGGAGGTGAGGGTTGAGAAAAGTACTGAGGCAGAGATGTAACTGGAGGAGATGGGACTCTTGCAGGTCAGTGACAGCCTAGTTGAAGGTCAGGTCTGGCTCCCTGGCACCCTCTTGGCATTCTGGCATGATGATTTGCTTGTGAGCCATGAGACTGAACAAATGTTAAAGTGCCTAAGACTAGAGAGGAGAGTGCTAAGCCTCAAGGCTTGATTATCCTGTGGAAAGAAAACAGGAACTTCAGGGCTGGGAAGGTAGCTGGCTGGGAAGGTAGCTCAGTGGTAAGAGTGCTTGCCTTGCATTCATGAGGCCCCGGGTTCAATTCCTCAGCACCACATAAGTAGAAAAAGTTGGAAGTGGCGCTGTGGCTCAAGTGGTAGAGCACTAGCCTTGAGCTGAAGAGCTGAGGGACAGTGTCCAGGCCCAGAGTCCAAGCCCCATGACCAACAACAACAACAAAAAAAAGAAAACAGGAACTTCAGCAGAAAGTGTGCCTCATCTCCAGTCTCTAAAGGCAAAGACTTTTTATGGAACTGTGAAACTGGGAAAGTCCTCTTAGTTTGTATGAAGTTATTTGTCCAGTGATGTAGCATTTCAGATCATTGTGCTATTGAAAGTCAAAAGGACATTTACTGCTAGGTGCTGGTGGCTCATACCATCCTAGCTACTAAGGAAACTGAAAGTCCATGAGATTCTTTTTTTTTTTTTTTTTTGCCGGTCATGGGGCCTGAACTCTGGGTCTGGGCACTGTCCCTCAGCTCTTCAGCTTAAGGCTAGTGCTCTACCACTGGAGCCACAGCACCATTTCCGGCTTTTTCTGTTTATGTGGTGCTGAGGAATCGAACCCAGGGCCTCATGCTTGCAAGGCAGGTACTCTACCGCTAAGCTACCTTCCCAGCCCCCTCCATGAGATTCTTATCTCCAGCTAATCACCATAAAGCTGGAAGTGGTGCTGTGGCTCAAGTGACAGGGTGCTAGCCTTGAGCAAAAAAACTCAAGGACAGTGCTCAGGTCCTGAGTTCAAGCCCCAGGACCAGCACAAAAAAAAAAAAGAAAAGAATGTTTACCTTCCAACTGTAATCTCTCATTCCATATGATGTTTCTCTTACTCCCTATCAGCAAAGACTCCTGAAACTACAACTCCCAGAAAACCTGACTTATCAGTCAGTGCAAGAAAAATTAAGGACAATGCAGCTGATTGGCATAATTTAATACTGAAATGGGAAACCCTCAGTGATGCAGGTTTTACCACTGCCAATAACATCGCCAATCTGAAAATCAGCTTACTGTAAGTACACACAAACCCCTCATGTTCTGGACTTTTCCTTACGAATTGAGCAGAAGAATCACAAGCATCTTCTCAGAGAACTTATCAACATGAATAATTTGTATGTGTGTATGTGTGTGGCACTATCCCTAAGATTGTTTTTGCTCAAGGCTAACACTGTACCACTTGAGCCATAGCTCCACATTTAGTTTTGATTTGTTGTTTTTTTCTGGACAAATAATGGAAATAAACCAACTTAAAAGGAGGAAACATTTGGGCTGGAGATATAGTTATACAAGGCCCTGTATTCAGCCTTAAACCACTAAAAAAGAAAAAAAGAAAGGTTTGTGTCCATGGTTAGCTGGCCCTATTGTCTCTATGCATTCTGGTAGCTCATGACTGAGGATATTTGTTTACCTCATGGCCAGCACCAAAACAGGAAGAACCTTGGGCTGGGAATGTGGCTCAGTGGTAGAGAGCTTGCCTAGCATGCAAGAAGCCCTGGGTTCAATTTCTCAGCACCACATACACAGAAAAGACCGAAAGTGGCACTGTGGCTCAAGTGGTAGAGCGCTAGCCTTGAGCAAAAGAAGCTCAGAGATAGCGCCTCGGCCCTGAGTTCAAGTCCCAGTACTGGCAAACAAAAAACAAAAAAAAAGTGGGTGGTGGGGAGAGGAAGAATAAAAAAATCAGGATCTAAAATTTCTTCAGGAGCACACACATCCCTGTAACCAGAAGCCTTCCAACAGCACCAGAGGCTGGAGTCAGCCTTCTTTTAAAAGGCATATTCACAGATTGAGGGCTCTTGGAGGAAATAATCCATGTCTTACTCATCTGTGTATAACTACCACTAAGCCCTCTGTCAAGGATGCCCTCAGGGCTGAACTGGAAAAAAGTATAGAGCAAAATGAATGTGAAGGGCCAGGGTTGTAACTCAGCAGTAGAGCACTTGTCTAGCAGGCTTAGGTTCTGGGTTCTATCTATAGTGAGATTGACCAGTAAACATATTTGTTATGTATGTAAATAATAACCAAGGCCAGATATTGTAACTCATGCTTGTAATCCCAACTACTTAAGCGATCTCACAGTTAATGTCCAGCTCTGGCAAAAACTTAGGGAGACCCCATCTCAACAAACACACAAGGTTACACGGGAGCCATAGGTAGATCATATAGGCTGAGGCAGCTCTAGGCAAAAAAAACATGAGACATTTGTTTGAAAAAAATAACTAAACCACCGAGCGCTGGTGGCTCACGCCTGTAATCCTAGCTACTCAGGAGGCTGAGATCTGAGGATAGCAGTTCAAAGCCAGTCCAGGCAGGAAAGTCCATGAGACTCTTATCTCCAATAAACCACTAGAAAACCGGAAGTGGTGCTGTGGCTCAAGTGGTAAAGTGCTCGCCTTGAGCTGAAGAGCGCAGGGACAGCGCCCAAGCCCAGAGTTCAAGCCCTATGACCAACCAAAAAAAAAAGGGCTGGGAGTGTGGTTCATGTTGTTTAATGTCTGCCTAGCAATCACAATGCCCTGAGTTAATACCTTAGTACTGCTGAAAATAACCAAGCCTGTATTAGAATGACATAAAACAGCAGTGCTTATGCAAGATGACTGACATATGTGGATAGTGAGCTTCTGGAATTTACTGTAACAAAGTGAGGTTGGGCTTATTTTGTTTTTGTGCTGGTCGGGACAGGGTCTGGACTCTATCCCTCAGCTTTTTGCCCAAAGCTAGCACTCTACCACTCGAGCCACAACTCTACTTTTAGCTTTAGGATAAGAGACTTTCCTGCCTGGACTGTGCTCCTCAGATTTCAGACTTTTTGACTGGCTAGAATTATAGGTGTGAGCCACTGCAAGGCTGTTTTTGAAGAGGTTTTTGCTTTTGAGAAAGAGCCTTGTCATGTAGCCCAGATGAGTCTTGAAATTGTAATTCTCCTGCTTCAGGTTCCTAAGCATCAGGATTCTCGTTATGTGCCAACACATTTGTCACGAGGTGAGTTTCTAGAGTGTAATTTCTACCCCTTTTATTTTGTCCAGGAATAAAGAACAGATAGAATTAGAGAACAGCAACCCAGTGTTCAGTGAAAATGAAGAAAAGAGGTGTCCAGAAGATGATAAAGAACTTGAGTCACTGTGCAAGGAACTGCAGGTCACTTTGGATGGTTTGGTAAGACCTGAAGACGCCAGCCATCTGTGGTCACCATCCCTGAGTCCAGCGGACCTATTTGGGGTTTGCTTGACCACTAGAGACATTGAAAACCACTGTTGATCCTTTCTTCCTTCTCTCCTCCTTCCTCCCCTCCTCCCCCCAGCCCTTCTTTCTCCACCTCCCTCTCCTCTAATGGTCTCCTCCTCCATCCATCCCACAAATCTTGTTTGTTGGCTTTGAGACAAGGACAGGCTTAGCTCAGCCTCCTGAGTGCTGGGAATATGGGTGAGCATCACCACACCCCTGTCCGGTGCATTGTCTGAGGAAGCCCCAACAGCTTTGATGGTCTGCCTAGTAAATATCTGAGGACTTGTGGGCCAGAACATCTCTTTTTACAGCTCCTCAACTCAGCTGTATTGATAAGTCAACCATAACCAGTACATAGACAAACAGATGGCTCTGTCCCCATAAAACTCCACTAGAACTTGGATTTCATATAATTTTCTTTTCTTTTTTTTGGGGGGAGGGGGGGTCCAGTTGTGGGTCCTGAACTCTGGGCCTGGGCGCTGTCCCTCAGCTCTTCAGCTCAGGGCTAGCACTCTACTACTTGAGCCACAGCGCTTATGTGGTGCTGAGGAATCGAACCCAGGGCCTCAGGCATGCAAGGCAAGTGCTCTACCACTGAGCCACCTTCCCAGCCCCTCATATAATTTTCTTGTGTAGTAAAATACTACTTTTTTTGTTACTTTTCAGCCATTTAAATGTAAGAGCCTTCTAAGGGCAGAGTATCTATAAATTATTTAGAATTCTACTTGGGAGATTTACCTGCTACTCAATTATTTATTTGTATCAATCTGGACTTGATATTTTACATTTATTTATTTATTTTGCTGGTGCAGAGGTTTGAACTCAGAGCTTTGTGCTTTCTTGGCTAGTGCTCTACCACCTGAGCAGGCCTCCAGCCAGCTTTTTTTAGTTATTTTAGAGATGGAGTCTCATGGACTTTTCTACTCCAGCTGGCTTTGCATCACGATCCTTTACATCTTAGTTTCTTGAGTAGTAGAATTACGGACACACGCCCCCATCACCCAGCTTGTTGGTGCTTTTTTTTTTTTTTGGTCAGGCCCAAAACTCGGCCTGGGCACTGTCCCTCAGCTTTTCAGCTCAAGGCGAGCATTCTGCCACTTGAGCCATAGTGCCACTTCCAGCTTTCTGGTGGATAATTGGAGGTAAAAGTCTCAGACTTTCCTGCCCAGGCTGGCTTTGAACCATGATCCTCAGATCTCAGCCTCCTGAATAGCTAGGATTACAGGCATGGGCCACCGGCCCCAGCTTCATGCCTTTTATAGAGAATCTTGTTAGGTGGAATGGAAGTAGAGGTATGGTTCAAGTGGCAGATCGTCAACCTAGCAAGCTAAACAAGGGTGAGTCCCTGAGTCCAAGCCCTGATACTGATTTTAAAAAGAGAGAGAGAGGTGTCAGGCACTGGTGATTCACAACTATAATCACTGCCACTCTGGAAGCTGAGACCTAAGCATCATGGTTCAAAGCCACCCTAGGGGGCTGGGCATGTGGCTTAGTGGTAGAGTGCTTGCCTTGCATGCATGAAGCCCTGGATTCAATTCCTCAGTACCGTGTACGTAGAAAAAGCTGGAAGTGACACTGGCTCAAGTGGGTAGAGTGCTAGCCTTTAGCAAAACAAACTCAAGGACAGTGCCCAGGCCAAGTTCAACCCCCAGGACAAACAAAGCCAGCCTAGGCAAGAAAGAGACTCTTATCTCCAAATAACTACCAGAAAACTGGAAATGGTACTGTGGATCAAAATGGTAGAGCACGAGCCTTGAGTCCAAAAGCTCAGGGACAGTACCCAGGCCCTGAGTTCAAGCAGTATAACCGACAAAAAATAAAAAAGAACCACCAAAAGAAAACTGTAATCCTAGCTAAACAGGATTGAGGTTCAAAGTCAGCCCAAGCAGAAAAGTTTTTGAAACTTCATCTTAATTAGCAGGGCTGGGAAGGTGGCTCAGTGGTAGAGCACTTGCCTTGCATGCCTGAGGCCCTGGGTTCGATTCCTCAGCACCACATAAGCAAAATGAAAAAAGCCGGAAGTGGCCCTGTGGCTCAAGTGGTAGAGCGCTAGCCTTGAGCTGAAGAGCTGAGGGACAGCGCCCAGGCCCAGAGTTCAGGCCCCACGACCGGACCAAAAAAAAATTAAAAAAAAAAATTAATTAGCAAACTGCTAGACTGTGGTGCTGCTCAAGTAGTAGAGTGCCAGGCCTGAGCAAACAAGCTTAGCAAAAGCACCAGACCCTGAGTTCAAGTCCCAGTACCCACCTACACACCCAAAACAGTTGGTGCCATAAGGATCTTCTATTTTTTCTGTTTTTCCCCAGCCTTTAGAGAGAGTGGTTTCCCAGACTTGGCTTGGGGGTTGGATGTGCCCATTTCCCTGAGCTGGACGCTCATTTCTTGTTTGTGGCTAGGAAGCACTACCAGCGCTTGGCTGGCAGTGCGGCTGCACGTGTGCCTGCCACTGTCCTCGATAACAGCCAAGCTACAGAACTGAGTGCTGGCCCTTGGCCTCGGGTCAGACCTCCAGGATTGCCTTGCTCTCTAGATCTCTGTAAGCTGTTCTTACAGTCAGGTAGCAGCAGGCAGCTTGTGCAGATACTGGTGCAGATATAGAGGAAAGAGCAGATAATTGGGTGTCAAAAAACTGGTACCAGAGGTCTGGTATCAGGTTCTGACCTTGTCCTTCCCTAGCTCAGCCCTGAGTAATTTTCCCAGCTGTGAAGTGGAAATAATGAGTCCTACCTCTTGAGGCTGGGACAAGTGAGATACTGAGTCTAGCAAGACTTGAGAGCTAAGTAATGTTCTTCAAAGACTTATGCCAGCTAAATTGAGCACATGCCACTTCAGATGTGATTGGAGGGTGGTTGGAAGGACCCTGTGCAAGGAGCGAGGATTTTGATTAACGTGAAGTTTATATATAGCTAGGAGTCCAAAATTTGGTTCTAATAGACCTATGCTACTGAAATCCTCATTACTTCTAATTATTTTACTTTCCAGACTCTGAGATTAGTAATCAAGTAGGTTTTTCACAAACATGGATCCATACCTTACCCAGCTATGAGGGCTGTGAGATGAGCCTCAGATCACAGTGGGCGGGGTGGATGGTTCCTACTGGTGTCACACAGTGACAGGCTAGGGGGGGAGCCTGAGGTCTTCTGAGGCTCTGCCAAGATCAAATTCTCACTGCTGCCTTCATGTGTGGGGCAGCTTTTCATTATTATTGTCTCATAAATAGGGAGATGAAGGCACAAAGAGGCTTCAGTAAGCTCAAAGGCAGTTAATAAATGATAGAAATGAGCTCATTGAATGTCTTTTCTCCCATCTTTCATGGCCTGGAATCCCTTCAGGCTTTTGGAGGTAAAACATTAGTAATGTGGGGAAATCTAGTGATGTGAAGCTCAGCGAGCTCTCTCCTCTGATAATGCAAATCCACAGCTTATTACTGAAGTAATCCAAATTAATGAAACCATAACCGTCTCCTTTCATCTCCCTGGAAACTGGCTGCTTGTGGAGTTGATGGTGTTTAGTTAGAGGACTTGTAGCACCACAGACCTGTTCTGAGTTTTGAAATCTTCTAGTTCTTGAATCTGAGACTAGAGATTTCATGTTTTGTTTTGTTTAATTATTTTTGGTGGTCCCATGGCTTGAACTCAAGGCCTGGGCACTGCCTTGAACTCTCTTGTGCTCAAGGCTAGTGCTCTACCACTTGAGCCATAGCACCACTTTCAGCTTTTTCTGAGTTGTTTATTGGCAATAAGAGTTTTACAACGCTAAGTGCCGAGTGCTGATTGCTCGTGCTAGTCAGGAGGCTGAGATTTGAGGATCATGGTTCAAAGCCAGCCTGGGTAGGAAAGTCCATGAGACTCTTTTTTTTTTTGGTCGTGGGGCTTGAACTCTGGGCCTGGGCGCTGTCCCTCAGCTCTTCAGCTCAAGGCTAGTGCTCTACCACTTGAGCTACAGCGCCACTTCCGGTTTTCTGGTGGTTTATTGGAGATAGGAGTCTCACGGTCTCTCCTGCCCGGGCTGGCTTTGAACCGCGATCCTCAGATCTCAGCCTCCTGAGTAGCTAGGATTACAGGCGTGAGCCACCAGCGCCCGGCTCCCATGAGACTCTTATCTCCAACTAACCACCAGAAAATCAGAAGTGGCTTAAGTGGTAGAGCACTTGCCTTGAGCTGAAGAGCTAAGAGACAGCACCCAAGCCCAGAGTTCAAGCCCCACAACCAAAAAAAAAAAAAAAAAAATTTCACCGACTTTTCTGCCCAAGCTGGCTTCAAACTGCAATCCTCAGATCTCAGCCTCCTGAGAAGTTAGGAGTACAGGTGTGAGACACCGGTGTCTGGCTCATCTCATATTTTCATATTCTAAATATCTTTTCAGGCTAAAATACAGGTGAAAATGGAAAAGCTATCTTCAACTACCAAGGGAATTTGTGAGCTAGAAAATTATTATTATGGGGAGGAGCACAGACGCCCCCCCCTGTTCCATACCTGGCCTACCACCTATTTCTGTAAGTACCTCTTCCTAGTCCTCGGAGAGGAGGTGGGGCATCTTAAAACGAGTGTTTCTTCCAGGCTTTAATTAACAGAGATCATCAGCAGGGCATAATTAGAGGCCATGATGCAAGTTGCGCTTAGCCACCCTTTAAAGCCAATGAATAGAATGAATTCTACCTCTTCCATGGAGACAGAAAGCTCTCATTTTCTTTTATTACTAAGTTTTTTTTTATTACTTTGGTTTTGTTTCAATTTTAAAAATTGGTGGGCACTGCAGTTAACCTCATAGGAAACTGAGCAAAGTGAAATTATTGAAGCTTTGTGAAATACTTTATAAAGGATTACTTTTAGTTGAGTTCAAAAGAAAGTCTAAGGGCCTTGCCCATGTAACCCCTCTGTACGGTATTTTCACAATTGAAAAAAAAAAAAAAAAGAGGCTAAGGGGCTGGGAATGTGGCTTAGTGGTAGTGTTTGGCTAGCATGCATGAAGCCCTGAGTTCAATTCCTCAGTACCAGAAAATAAAGACAAAAGTGGGGCTGGGAAGGTGGCTCAGTGGTAGAGCGCTTGCCTTGCATGCTTGAGGCCCTGGGTTCAATTTCTCAGCACCACATAAGCAAAAAGAAAAAAGCCGGGAGTGGTGCTGTGGCTCAAGTTATAGAGCGCTAGCCTTGAGCTGAAGAGCTGAGGGACAGCGCCC